GGTGAGACTTTGTGGAGCACTCCTTATGGGCAAGGACGGTGAGACTTTGTGGAGCACTCCTTATGGGCAAGGACGTACTTCAGGCGTCTTGTCAGGAGAGACCAGTCCCCGGAGAAGGACCTCACGCTGGGTAAAGTGGAGGGGTGGCAAAAAAGAAGAAGGCCCCTGACGCCATGGACTGCCACCGTGGCTGCCACGCTGGCCTCCGTCCTAGGAGCAGTTGGGAGGACGGCGCAGGACTGGGCGGTATCCTGTTCTGATGCACACGGGGTCGCTGTGGTTTGGAGCCGGCTCCAGGGCACCCAACAACTTCCCTTCTTATATGAACAGTGTGGTGATTCATTCTGGAAAGTACCCATAAACCTTCTTTTTCAAAAGACCCAATCCCCCCTCACCACACACACATGCTGCCCTGCCTGGGCCCATGCCCGTACGTCCATGCCCATGTCCAGTTCTCCGGATGGCAAAGCCCAGGCTGTCATTGGCTACACATGTGGTCTTCACACGCCTGTACCTGATGCAAATGCTTAAGCTCTTGGCTACCAACCCAAAGGCTAGCAGTTTGAACCCATCTAGAAGTGCCTCCCACGAAAGGCCTGGAGATCTGTGTGGGAAAAGTCGCTCAGAGCCATAGAACCCCCACCCCCCACGCAGCTCAGCCCTACTCTGATGTTACCGACTGGACGGTCCAGTGTGCTTGCCTGTCAGTTTCTTCCTCTGCAAAATGGGAGGAAGGACACCATCCTTGGGACAGTGGAATCCCAGCTGGGGACCCATCCTACTCATGGCAGGGGCTCAGCACTCACCTGTGCCCAGCGAGGAAACCCCTCCCACCACTGCCCTAACCACTGCCTTTCTCCTCTCCCCAGTTTATCCTCTGCTTCAGCTTCTACCAGTGGGAGCCCATGACCTACGGCTCCTACCGCTACCCAAACTGGTCCATGGTGCTCGGCTGGCTGATGCTCGCCTGCTCCGTGATCTGGATCCCAGTTATGTTCGTGATCAAAATGTACCTGGCCCCTGGCAGATTTATCGAGGTAATGCTATCAGCATCCCCCCACCCCAGCTGCCCTCTGCCCAGGGAGAACCCCCGAAAGCACTGCCCATCCAGGAAACTGACTCTAGGGAGGCCTGTGATTAAGTGATTACAGTCCTGGGCATTTGTATTAAACCCATTTTTTATCTCGTTGATTCCTCCGGGGGAGGGGCTCAGCCGACCCTTGGGCGAGCTGTTATTATGCCATTCCTCAGTGTGGCAACACGTGGGGAATAGGTCGGGGGAAGGGGGGCTCCTCCCTCGCCCACAGTTGAAACCCCGGTGTCTGCTTTTTAACTGCTTCAGGCTCCCCTTCCCTGGTGGCCCTCACTGCGCCAGCTTAGTCCCGTCCAGGTCCCTGCCTGGGGTTCCAGGTAAAATCAATGCCCCTTCATGTGGCACCTGCGTCGGTGATGACCGAGGGTCCCCAGCTGATGAGCATGTCACCGCAGTGAGAGGGCCAGGGCCTGGCTCCTACGAGAGGAGACTTGGGTTTCTTTGTCACTCCATCCCATTTCAAATGTAAAAAGAGCGCCCCCCCCCCCCCAGGGGATGGGACAGGACTGGCCCTTGCTGTCCACCAGTGAGATGAGGTCGAGCTGTGGTTACGGATGACGAGACACCTGCTCAGATATTCCGATGGGCTAGGAATAGCTCCCAGCGGTCTGGCACTCCAGACAGAACCAGTGTCGCTCCCAGCTTGGTCCCAGGAGCGTCAGCGTCACCTGGGAACGTGTTAGAAATGCACATCTCAGGTGCTGCCCCCTGATCCACTGAGCCAGAAGGACAGGGAAGCGGGAAACAGGCTTCTGTCATTTAGCAAGCTTCCTGCTGCCCAGGAGGTTCAGGTGCATGCTGGGGTCTGACAAGCATTGGCTAGAGCCCGACCCAGCTATAAAAGAACTGCCCGGAGGGGTCAGACCAGCTCTAGGGGTCTTCCTCTTGGTCAGCCATTGGCAGAAAGGAAGGGGCCTTTGAATCATCTCACTGAGGCCCACACAGAGTGGAGGTAGCTTGGATTTTCATTGGATAAAGAAGAGGATAGAGTTGTTGAAAAAGAGGTCAAGGAGTCCCAGTACTGAGGCAGTATTCCAGGTTTTAGGCCCAGAAATCTTGTTTGTTGACCCATGGTGGTAAATGACGGTGGCCCCACCGATACTGGGCGCGGCTCACTTATACCCCAGCTGGACCTTCTCACCCACTGATCAGAAATCACGCCCGCTCCCTCTGAGCAGAAGCTGGCTTAGCTTCTGCTACTTTTGTCAGGCTGGGCTGCTCTAGACGGCCGAGTCTGCTCTATAAATTGACGATGGTTGATTTGGGACACAAAGGTTGCAAGCTGATGATTAAGGAGGAGATTAAACTAACAATTATAAGAACCAGCTTCACATTAATAGGTAATAAACATATAATCGTTCCCTGCTCTGTAGCCAGAAATATGTTTTCTTTCCCTTCTCTATAAAATATTCCAGTCAAGTTCTGTTTTCCATAAAAAGTTCAGTGGAAGGATTAGAGACATCCCCATTATTTTTAGCTCACTTGCAAGAACTCACATAGCCAAACCAAGTCAGAAGCATATACTTTTGTTAACAGACAATTAAAATCTTGGCTTACTCTTGGCAATGTATTTTGGGTGTTGGGCTTCCTCCCCTTCTTTCTTTCTTTTCTTCAGTCATTTATATACTTTTTGGAAATAAGCGAAACAGCACCCAGTTACTTTGATGCACCAGCCCACTGTTGATGTGCAGCACCAAAGTAATTGCGCATCTGTCCTTTGCAGACTGCACTTGGCCATGGAGGGGGCAGCTTTTGGGTTCTTTGCGTTTGGAGGGGGGATGCAGAAGCGGAAAACGGGCCCTTCTCCATTACTCTGGAGCAAGGCAAACACTGAGCAGCAGTGTCTTGGAATAGTGCTTGCAGGGTGGTGTAAGTAACAGTAGACGAGGCCCACTAAGTGTCCGATTGAACGCCCCTGGGCTGGCTAATGGATGGGGCTGGTCTTCTTATGACCTTCCTACGTCTTGGTGGGAGACCTCTGGGCTCCAGCAGGGGCCCTGGCCGGCGTGGTGGTCAGCAGTTTGGGACTGGGTGGGCGATGCCTCGGGAAGGGTGACCCATGCCTTCAATGACCCGTGTGTCTTTGTCTTCTTTGCAGAGGCTGAAGCTGGTGTGCTCGCCACAGCCTGACTGGGGCCCCTTCTTAGCTCAGCACCGTGGAGAGCGTTACAAGAACATGATCGATCCCTTGGGGACCTCGTCCCTGGGACTCAAACTGCCAGTGAAGGATTTGGAACTGGGCACCCAGTGCTAGTCCAATGGTGTGGGGTGACCCAGACTCCATGCTGGCTCTCCTTTCTGCTTCTCCCTAAATTCCCCTCAGCTTTCCTCCATCCTTCTTCTCTCTCCACACCCCCCCCACCTCCCCTGCACCCCCATTCTGGCTCACATCTGTGCATGAGAGAGGTTTCGTAGAAAAGTAAGACGTAGTGTCGCATGCCGTAGTGAAGAGCCAGACAGACCATGGAGGCGCTGTGCGCCTGCTGTGGCCCTGGTGTGGGTGCACGCTGTATACTGGGGTGGGGTGGTAGTGCTGAGGGTGTGCTTCAGCTTAGAAAGGCCTTTGCACTGAAGTCACACATGGGCAAGTGGGGTTGGATCCATACAGAGGCATCCATGTGTGCTCCCTAGGGGTTTCAGTGGCTGACTTTGGGGAAGTAGTTTGCCAGGCCTTCCTTCCAAGGTGCCTGTGGGTGGACTTGAACTTCTAACCTTTAAGTGAGCAACTGAGCACTACTGACTTGTTTGCACCACCCAGATAAAGAACAGCAGGATTAGAAACGTGTGGGTTCGGAATTTTCTGCATGCGGACCTGGACGGGGCTCAGGGTTGAGGACAGGGAAGACTTAGCGGGCAGCCGTGACTGGGATGTGTTTTGGATGAAAGACCAAGTCAGGAGATGGGAATGCCGCTGGGCGGTTATGTTCACGGCTCCATTCCCAGTGGGAGATCTGTGCCCTTCATTTGGACCAGTCTGTCTGCCAAGGACTCGGCTGCTTCCCTCTCTGCACTTGGCGAGTCTGAGTGAAGAATCGCTTCTCTCCCCCCAGTCATCATCTTTCTTTGTTTGCTTGTTGTTCAGTCACCGTGCCTGTGAGTTCTTTTGCTCATTTCCCCGCCTCTGCACAAGAAGCCGCCGGTCGCATGATTTGTGCCTAAGTGTGTACGTTGGCAGCAGGGCTCCGGTCTCATTCCTCCACGACACGGGGCACTGCAGGCCAGCACGGCCAGCCCCGTTCCTGTAGACCCCCTGTCAGCTGTAGACCCCCTGTCTTTCAACCTGGGGGGTAACGAGACTCGCCGTGGTTCTGTCTATACTGTATGTTATTTATGTGGGACACACACTCTTAAAAAACATACAGACAGCTTCTCAATTTTTACTCCTAACCTTTTCAGTCACAGTCGATGCCAACTGTGGTCGTAGAGAAATCCAAGATGCAGAGAGTCGAATAAAAGGCATCCACCAGCTCCCCTGCGCTGGTAGCACATTTTAGGTCACTGTATTTACAGGACTTTCTGATAAATACAGCTTAGGTAAGTAGCGAGCGAGCCAATTAAGACTATAGCTTTTAAGACTACATTTAGCCAATTCAATTTTAAGAGTTCCCTGTTCACAGTAATCATTGTTAACTGCACTCTAACGAGAGCGGAATCGTATGTCTGCAGAGATTGGCGAAGCTGTAACCTTTATTATCGTCTTGTATCCTGAACCTGCGTATATGGAATTTCTAAAACATGCTTACGTGCTCATGTAGTGTGTGCTTGTAGTGGTGGCTTCTGTCCCTGGATCTCCCCAGCTACTCTAGCGGTGGTGAGTTTAGAATAGTGTAGTCCACAGTTCAATTTCGTTTTGGTTTTTGGTTCCTCCCCTGGCTTCCGTTCCAGTAGTAATATTGAATCTTGTTTCCTTTAGGGGACCATTTCAACCATTTTCTTATTGCTGTCTTCCTATCACAGGGTCTCAGGCAATGTTTTCAGTTCTGATCTTGTCTATTGATGGGACGTTTTCATCCCGCTCAGCAGCAGGGACATCCAACCACAGACCTTAAAGTGACTTTTTGCTTTTAAATGACTTCATTTGTTAAAGACCGATAAAAATAAGTCTCCACTCTTTCCCTTTTCTAGGGCACATCCGTTGCCATTGACCGACACTGATGCCAACTTGTGGTTTTCAGGAGTAGCCGGTGGGAGGTTTCAGGAAAGGAAGCCAAGATGGGCTGTGTGCTTTGCGTTTCGTGTCTTGTGTCCGCAGTGTATGTCTGTCCTTCCTCGCCTTTGTTCTCCCAGCCTCCCTCTCTCCCCCAAAGCCAGGGTCTACTGTCACTTGTTACAGAGCGCTCCCTGAGCTCCCCGGAGAGACTCGACCGTAGGAAGCCGGGCAGCAGACTCGCCTGTCCCTGTGCTCCTCGTGTGAGTGGCCTGTCCACCATTGACACTGGTCTCGCCGAGAGAGCCAGACTGACATGAATTCCTCAGCAGAGGGTGCAGGGCAGTCCAACACTTAGCCTCTCCCGTGGGCACCTGGTGGCGCGGAAGAGGCAGGGAGGCATGCCCCCAGCCTGGCAAGGACTTGCAGCCTGTCCTGTGCACAGGTTGACGAGAAGCACTTCGGTCAATTGGCGTTCTTCGCCTGGGACTTGCCCGTATGTTTGTTGCAGGACACAGGGCTCTTGGCTTTCTTCTCTTGCTCCTCTGGAGCGTGAGGTTGGAAGCGCCCCGAGACCTGCTAGTGATCGCTGTTAGGGTGAAAAGGAAGGATAGGATCAGGCTTGTGTGGTGCCAACTGAAAGCTCACTTCATGGCGGGATGGCGCCCCCCCCACCCCCCACCCCGCCCGCCCGTGGGGGCAGCGGCCTTTGTGTCCGCCAGAGTTTGTCCAGTTTAGACTTGGTAACCGCTCCCTGACTGCCAGTTTCCTCTTCTCCTTCTCCTTCTTCTCTTTTTTCCTTTTGCCTGTGGTTTCCAAGTCTTAACGAAAAAGTTGCTTCAAGGGCCACGCTTGGCCGAAAGAGTCTGAACTTGCTCGGAAACTGTTCCCTTACTTTCGGAGCGTCCAGAGCCCTCCACCTTCGGGGTGCACCCTGGCCTGGCCAGGCTCCATCATTGCCTGTTCACGCAGACCTCCCCTCCCATGGCACTGGCTGGGGCACTGGGAGCCCAGTCACACACAGCCAGGTGCACGTCTCCTCGCGGGGAAATTGCAGGGCTGATTGGAAGAAGAAAAAGGAAAAGAACAGAAACCAAAAGCATAGCGAGCATCAGCACCATCATGAACCACCACCTGAAAGTTGCCCTCTCCCACCAAGGAAGAGAGCCCCCATCAAAAACCAGTACCACCAGGTGGCCGAGGACAGACTCTCACTGGACCATTGTGCACAGAATGGGGATCATCTCGTGAGCTTATTTCAGCAACACCCCGGAATGCCAGAAACCCATCCCAAAGGAGAGAGGGGGAAAAAAGCCATATGTGAAAAACAATTAACCCTATAACATCCTTAAAGGAGAAAACATGTATTCCTTAACAATTGGTGTTGTGGCTTCTTATGTACGTGTGTCTTGTAAATTAGTAGCTTTTAACCTCTTGACTACTGTGTTTGTCCTGTATCAGTGTGTCAAGTTGTGTTTGTTTGTTTGTTTGTTTTGTAATTACTTTTCTTGCATGAAATCTGGGGTCAGGCCGTAGTCTCGAGGACTTCAGCTCCTTTGAAATGCCTCCCTCCTGCGTGTGTGAGCGACACCACCAGCCGGCGTTTCGGGAGGCACAGCCGCACTTTGAAACCTCCCCGTGGAGGAGACGGGGTACGTTCCTGGGAGTTGAGTTTCCCTTGAGTGACGTCTTGTCCCGCTTTCTCCTTGTTTGTGCTTCAGCGCTCCTGGTCAGTCCAGTGTCACCTGGCAGCCTGGCTTCCCCATGCGGAAAACTCCAAATCCTCTCTCCCCTTTCTTCCCTCAGCCGCCGCTCTCCGTCCTCTCCCAAGGCACCTCTGCAGCAACTCCTGTTCTTGAGGGGGTGACAGCAAGCCCGGACCCCTGAGTTTGGGCTCGCCGTATGTCTTTGTGGTGGATGATTCCAGTGGGGGGTTGCTGCGAGAATGTGGGCTTCTGGTGTTGCCTGGACAGACCGTGGACCATGGCCAGCCAGCGAGTACACCCCACCCCGCACCCCGTGCATTGCTGTGTGGGGTGGGCATCCTGCAAGAAGGTCCAAGGTGGAGGAGGGTCAACGCTGGGGAGCTTGCATTTGGGCACTGATGTCTCCCTCGTGGGACCGCCCTGGGATTTGTGGAAGCAAAGCTTCCCATCTTTCCCAATTGTTGCTCCGGCTGTCCACAAAGGCCAAGGCTTTTTGTTGAAATGTGGGCTCTGCTCGAGGAACGTCGGAGCAGCCTGCAGCCAAAGAGAAAGTGCCCCCCCCCTCCCCCCACCCTTCGTATTTCACCTCTGAAAAGCAAGCAGTGGTTTGATTTGCCTGCCACGGGCTAAATACATCTTCAGGTAACCATTTGCCTTATAGGTGTATTTTACTGACACTTAGAAACGGACTAGGAGATGCTTTGGTTTGGTTGTTTTGCCACGTTTTCAGTAAATCTTTTTTTGCACTTTACTATGGACCTATCCTGGAATAGGTTAATTCTTGTGTACTTGGCTAGCATTATGAATGCAGGCATCCTTGTGGGCACTGTTGCCTATGACTAAAGATATGCTCCCTAATCAGGTCCTTATATTTTTCATTAATGAAACATGGAGAAACTATATTATGTTATAAATGATAACGCCGTATATATCTTATAGAGTACATATTATATATTGTGCATTATTCATTTAAGAAATCATTATTCTTGAGGCCCTACCTCAAATTTTGTATTTATGTGTACAAAAGCAATTTATTGTATTATATATTTGCCTATTATACACTGATATAAATTAGAATTTATCCTAATGATGTATGAGTTCCTAAAGCCCTCAATAAATGTCAGTGTTTAAAACGCGATGATTACAGTGATTCATCTGCCACCACCCGTTTCCTGGCGTCTTTCTTGCTTAACCAATGGCCTTGAGGTTTCCGCTGGATTGGTCCTCCTGGGAAAGTGGGATGCTGGGCTGCCGCAGAAACAGAAATTAGCTTGTTATATTCTTAACCATCCAAGCACACTACTGTCTGCTGAATTATTAATTACTCCTCATAGGAAATGAGCCCGTGAACTGGGCAAGTTAGAGCCTTTGGGGAGCATTAATGTTCACGTTGCCCCGTCTCCAGGTCAACTTCCTAGCCATTCACCACGCATTTCCACAGCTCTTCCCTTGTGCCGACCCTGTGTTGTCCTTGGTGGCTGTTAAGTCCACTCTGGCTTGGTGACCCCGCGTCCAGCAGCAGGAGGGGTTGCCTGGTCCCCTGTCTCCTTCACCATCCTTGATGGGCATGAGCCCAGTGCTGGGACTGCTGTGGACGTTTAGTGCCCTTCAACCTCGAGGGTGCCCTTTCAAGCAGCGTCTGGGGCTCATGGGGCCCATAGGGCTTTCATTGGACACTTCTACTGCAGGAGACCTCCCGACCTTTCTTCCTAGTCTGTCTTGGTCCGGAAGCACCACTGAACCCTGTCTACCATGGGCGACTCTGCTGGTGTTTGAAATACTGGTAGCATAGCTTCCGGCAGCACAGCAACTTGCAAGCCACAACAGTCTGACAGATGGCTGTTGGCACTAGGCAAAACGAAATAAAACAATCTCTGATCTCAAAAAAGCTGAGCCGTATGGATAAAACCCACCCACATGCAACAGACCAAGCATCATTCCTCCCCTCTTAAGTAATGGAGACCCCCACCCCCAAAGTTTCCTGTCTATATATTCTGGGTGGAGACTGCCTCGGGCTTCTCCTTCTGGTCACTTCAGCCCAGAAGCCCGATTCTGTCCAATGCAAATGGACATAACTTCTCATGATCCGCCTCCACCTTCAGCTTCTGGGCTGCAGGGTGATCGGGGTCATTGCCGAGGGAGAGTAGATGTCCTCACACGCCGACGATGAACTCCACATGCTGGAAGAACACGTCCATCCTGGGTGGAGCTCCAGCCTGGATAAGGCTTATGATTGGGAGATTTATGCACTTGGAATGGCCACAGACTGTACATCAGCAGGTACCCAGGGCAGCAACGATTAAAACACTTTTTTTTTATTTTAAAGATTCTCCGGCAGACATAAAAGTAAAATAGGATAATAAACTCCATCTACATGTCCTATATCCGTGTGACCCACTCATGCCCTACCGTGTTTTGTTCATCCCCTTTACAACCTCCAATTCTGTTGGCTTCTTTAGAAGTATTTTAGAGTACTTGAGTATTTTAACACAAACCTTAGTCCCACAAATGCTCTGCTGTGTTTTCATAACCCTCTTTAAAAGTCTGTCCTCATAACAAAGACAAAACCAGGGAAAACAGGACCGATCCACTCAGGCTTGTTAGAGAGCTACCAGGATCTTACAGGAAGAGACCAACCAGGTGTCCTCTCTGCTAACTAGCGTGCCTTCCCTGACCTCTTCAGTAACGAGGCTTCCGATTGGCCTTTCCTGCTCTTTGAGGACCCAGCTGACTCCTTGCTCCCTTTGGAGTTGTTTTTTCTTTTTCCGTGCTTCCTTCTCCCTTTCCCCCATCTCGCTCCTGGAACCAGTGATGCAGCATCGCACAGTGGCTCAGCTCCAAGCCTTGTATTCCAGCATCTCTGATATACAGATCCCCTGGGGAACTAGCTTCCCAAAGCACACACACCGGACAAGTGGTCACCGCCCAACAGAGCCACCATAGGACCACTGTGCTGCAGAAAATGATTTCAGTGCCTTTATAGCCGCTCCGCTTTATCCAAATTGGGTCCAGTTCTCTGCAACAACCTACTGGGTTAAACAGAGTCCGTGCATAGCTTAAGCCCTTTCTTGCCTTTAGGAAGCCTAGCAGCAGAGTGATTAACATGCTCAGCTGCTAAGCACAATGCCTGCGTTTCATGCCCATGAGCCACTCTGTGGGAGGGAGGTGAGACAGTCTGCTTTCTATGTGACTGACAGCTCAGAGACCCTCCAGGGAAGCTCCACCCTGTCCTGTTGGGCTACCAGGAGTCAGAGTGGACTTGATAGCAGTGGGTTCGTTGGTTCTTGCTTTTTACTTTAATTGACCATTTTACAAGAACTTGGGTTTATCACCATTTATCACCTTTTCCAGGGAACTTCTTCAGACACCTGCAGGAATAGAAATTAATAACCAGAACACAATGTAGATTAACATCGAAACAGAATCACATTTTCAACATTCATTGATTCATTCCTTCATTTATTTATTTCCACCCCGAATTTGGTGTCTTAATTATTTATGTGCTCCTAGGACATAGTAGTTTGTGGCACATTGTAGATAATAAATACATTTTTCAATTACACAAATATTGAGTATTGATTCTGTCCAAAGGACAGCTGTAAGTGTTATAATGGGCACAACACAGCCAAAAGCATGCGTCAGGCTAGGTCTCTGGCTCCAGGTTACTCAGACTGAGCGAGGATTTAAGATACATCCAGTAAAAGTTACCATAACACGCAGTGGAAGGTAGCATTCCCCACAGAGAGATTCAAGGCACGAACATATTGCGAGGGTGCAGTGTAAGAAAAATATTCTGGCTGAAGTGATTAGACGAGTCTTCAGGAAACAGAGTCCTGGGACACGGGGAGGCGTTGGCGCAGGTGGAAGGTGGTGGGAAGGGATCCGCCTTCCTGGTGGATGAAAGAAGAAAGGGGTGGTGTAGGGGCAAGACTGACCATTTCACAAAAGAGCGACGACGGAGAGAATAGAAACATTGTGTATGTTGGTGAGCGTGAGAACTCAGCCTGAAATACAATTCCTCACTCATGGCCACCGAGTAGATTCCGACTCATAGTGACTCCACAGGAGACAGTAGAGCTGTCCTTGTAGTTCCCGAGACTATCCATTTTGCCCTGAAAAATAAAGTTTGGGACTAGACAATCAAGGGCCTCGATTTCAGCATAAAGAGCTCCAATGCTGTTTGACTGGACCAGGGACCAGTAGAGTTATGGAATCGAGGAAACGGATTTCCTGGCAGAGGTGGCTGTGATACTGCCCTGGGTGCATGTGGTGTCATTCACACATCCTCATGTTCTCCTTTGAAAACTTGGAATCTCACATCTGCATCTCACAATCGTGGCTTATTTTTATGAGGTGCTGTTGGGCTGATCCCAACTTGTGGTCAACCTGTGTGCAGAGCAGAACTTCCTTGGGCTTTCCAGGCCAGTGGCTGCTCAGGAGCAGATCACCAGGCCTTTCTGCAGAGGCACCGTGGGTGGGCTCCCATGGCTGACTGTTCAGGTGGCAGCCAAGCACTTAACTGTTTGCACCACCCAGGGACTCTCTGAGAGTTGCTGCGAGGTTAAATGAAATGTTATGGGCAAATGTGTTTTCTGAACAGTAGTAGCCCACCTATATGTTGGGCCTTGATTGTTAGAGTTGGATCTGTGGGATGGGTTTGGAAAATTACTCTGCTCCCCATGTGAAGAGTGGACTAGCGTGGGGAGAGAGTTGAGGTAACAACACTGGGTTGGCAGTGCAAGAAACCAGCTCTCTCCCACCAGCAACATCCGGTCTCCAATCTAGGCTGGAGGGGCGTCTTCAGCAAGGAACCTTCCTGAGTCGATTGATGGGGACCGACAAGGTAGTGTTACATTTCTTTAGGAACCAGTATGGGGATGACACCAACTGACCCAACATGATGATGAGGCCCTAGCAGGGTTCCCCAGGGGTCCGGGGCCCTATCAGGTGTCATGATGCCAGTCGCTGCTTCGGTCGGGAGTTGGGAGCTGCTGGGTATGTGGGGGCACTGGGAAAGGGGCTCGGTGTCTCAAAGCAGCTGAATATTTTCATCCCACAACTTAGTTCATCCTGCTCCGGTTTAGGAGAGGTTCTCAGAGAGGCTTGGGCCCTACTTTCTAAGGCTGCATGAATGGGAACTTTCTTGTCTGAGCTTTCAGATCAGCCATTTTAATAAACAATTGCTTTGTCCCCTCCTTGCTCAGCAGGAGAGAGCCCAGCGCAGCTCAGACCCCAGTCCATTGCTAAGCTTGGGCCTCTCTTTGTAATTCTAACCATGCAGTATCTTGAGTGCAGGGTAGGAAGCACGGTGAATTTGCACTAGACTAGTATTGGCATCCTGCAATGTTGGTACAACGTTAGGGAGTATGGCAGAGGCTGAGAAGTGCCTTCACGTTTTGGCTCTTCCTTCCTTTCTTCCTTGCCCTGCTTTTAGTCAGGCCCACCATCATAACGCCCAGAGGTGACATTTCCCGGTTCCCTGGAAACCCGGTATGGTAGATTGATGACTGGTTTTATTTCTTTACTCCACCTGCATCTACATCCTGGCCACGTCCTCGTTGTGGGCAACTGTCCCTTGA